GTTTTATTGTAACCGATGCCAATAAAGGCTCACATCACAACTTTCACTGTACTCAGACGTTTCCTTTCACAACGTTCCAAAAGTTCAAACCTTTTTGTCTCTCTCTCTACGGTTCTCAATGTTTTTTCTCTCTGCGGGTGCCTGAGCTGCTGCTGTGGGTGCATCTTCGACTGCATCATCAGCCTCATCTGTAAGATCCTCACCACCGTGCACATCATCGCCGTCGTGCTCGTGTTCCTCTCTGGCTCATTGTGCACCCCAATGTCCTCAAATTCCACGTCAGTGATGCCTCTCTCACGCGCTTCACGTTCGCCATGCCACTGGTCCTTGCCTCCTCGTCGTCGCCACTACCAAGTACACCACTGTCGTCGTCGTCAACCACCGCCAACCCCTCCTCCACTCCTCCTCCATCCCCCCCTCCTTTGTTTTCTGATTGATGCATGTGGTGGGGTTTGGCTGGACTTGATCTGAATTGATAAAAGTTTGAAGCTTTGGAGAGGGGCAAGTATTTTTGGTGTTAGCTTTCGGTCTTTTTGTTTGATCTTGAAGTATTGTTTTCTGCTACAGAATTGAAGTGGGGGTTCACCTCTGTAAGGTACCGAGTGGGGTTCTGCTGAAGAATTGAAGTGGTTTGGAGCTAGATTGTGAAAAGAATATTCTTTTTTTTTCTTGGGACTGTTTGTCGGCAATGAAGGGATTGGAGGGGGATTTTGTCCTTTGGTGAAATGAAAAAGCATATCAAACACTTATTTACTTGATCCAGCATCTGGGTTATTCGATGAACACACGGTAAGGCTCCCTGTTTTCGGATTTTGTCCTTCGCTGATGTATTGAACTGGAAGAGCTTCCCTCTGCTGCCCTTTCTCCTCATCCCGTTCTCTCCCAGCGGGATGGGCACCCCCGCGCAGAACCTGTTCGATGGAAGGCTCGTGAAGGGAAGGTCCGTGGTGGCGGAGGCAATTAGTGGAAGAACTGATACTGCCTCGGTTCTTTAGAACCGAGTCAAATCGTAAATACTGCTTCGGTTAAAGACAACCAAGGCGCAAATACTACTGACCTTCTACCTCGCCTGTATATGCATCGGTTTCCAAACCGATGTCTATGACCGAAAATAAGTGATACCTATTCCTTTAAGTGTACTAGTGTTGACTACTTTGTCCTTTATTGCTTGTTTGGTACATAACTTTTTTCTCAATTATTCAAGTGAATTTATTCTTTTTCCATTGTGTTCTTCTTTCAATTATATTTAATTTGAATCTAAGGACAATTTTTTGAGGGGTGTTGCTCCCTCCACCCCCACACATCTCTTCCTCCACCTCCCCAATTTTCTAAAATACCAATTATATCCTTCTAAAATGACAATTATATCCTTAAAAGTTAAAATTTTTTATTTTTATTATTTTAATATTTTAATTTATTTAAAACTTCTGATTTACTTCCCTCTGCACCTCTTCCTCTCTTCCATTTCCGTTTACCTTTCTCTCTTCCGTCAAACTTCTTCTCCACCGTTTATCATTTTCTCTTCCATCAAGCCTCATCAACGTTTAAAAACTAATCATATATAACATTTAAAATTATAAATTTAAATATAAATTACTGTAAATAAAATAAACAAATAAAATAAAAACGAAACGTAAAACGAACGCTGCCTCTGGACGGATGACATCCTTCAACGGATGTCAACATCCGTT